CTCCTGGCATGTATCTCGGCGAGTGAGGAACGTTGCCGCTGGCATCGCTTGGTTCTGGGAGATATCGACTTTTTTGCGGAAATCCACGCAATCGAGTTCCAGATTCTCGAGGCACGAGCGTCCCACGGAGACTTGTCAACTGTTGCGCAAATTCGCCTTTTTTTTTCAGCACGCCAAGCCCGGCGTTAAGCGCCTGTTGAGAGAGCAGGGGGACAGGACGAAGAGCCTGCACGCGCTGGAGAACGAAAAGCCTGCATTCCTCAAGGACATACAGGAGGAGGGGATTCTTTTGGATCGTACCATGATGAAAGAAACCAACGCGTTCGTAGAGACCGAAGTTGACACTTCGGGTTCCCCACGAGACGTGATGCCAAGGCGGGGGAGCCAAGTCGCCGAGATGGTCTACAGACCCTTTCGGGGCCACGAGAGCCTGACAAGAACGACGGCCGACCCGGCTGCCTCACAAGCAGAGAGCGGAGAATTTTCGAAACGCCAGATATTTCCCAGATTGCCAGTGACTCAGAAACGCCAGAGGCCCAGCGATCGCAGCCCGGCAGCCGAAGTCGAGCGCACTATTGACATACAGGATATCTTCAAGAACGGACAGTCAAAGTACAAGATCACCAGATATCCTGGGGACAGCGAGAATTGGTGGATGCTATCGTGCGAGGAGCATGGTAGGAGGTTCAATAGTCAGCGAGCACTCACTGGTGCGGGGATACACTTGGCTTCTCACCACGGCAAAAGGAGACGGACAAACGAAAATGCCATCAAGCTTCTTGGTTACAAGGGCCTGAATTGCACTCCGGAACTGGTGGAGGCAAATAATCGGGCATTGGTCGGCTTTCTTAGTAGAGCAGTGTAAAGCGGGCCTGCGACCTTTGCCGCACCGGATTGGAGTTTCGACGTGATCTAGAAAGTGGAAAATTGTGTTGTGTGATAAATAGGCGTCGTCCGCAGATAGTATTCTGAGCTATATTCACACTTTGATCACGTGCATGAGCGAGAAATGGCGTCCAAAAGACTCTTTGTCTTATCCGGGGTTTCTAAGCCTGTATCTTTTGTTGTTGTTCATTGCCCACCCGTCCTCCTGCAGTATTCTTCATAATACAATTTATCCCCAAGAACTTTCACTGCCATCTTGGGGCTTTTGGCTCCGTAGTATCGTGCTCGTCGTCGGTATTCCTTGCTTCGATGAATCTTGTGTTGCGCCGTATAGACGACCGTGTTGTGTTGGCGTCCAAGCTCCATGACTTCTTCCTCTGTATGAGGGTGTGTAAGGTTCAGGTGAAAGAAGCCGACTGTCTTGTGGGGGTTCGTGAAGGGACAGGTTGTAGGGACCTCGTCCTTTGTTATACTCAGACGTCGTGGGGTCGCCACGCGGGCGATTTTGTTTTCACGCAGCCCCACCCACGGGTGTAAGGGCCTAGCAGTGATCATGAGCTTTGTTGCTTGGAATGTCTCGATGTGGCAGAGCCGGATGTCCGCCCACCCATCATTCCTTGTGATGCCGACAGGGGTCGAAGCAGTATAGTTCTCACACTCATTGCAAGTGGAGTACGTGCCTGTTCCCGAGTATCTAGAAGTGGTCGGATGACCTGAGGGCTAGCTGGCGCTCCTAGCCATCTGAAACTATTGGTATAGAGCCATGGGGTTGAATACCTTGATGATAACCAGGATAGTAGCAAAGGACCTCAAGCCAATTCTGCTGGTTCTTTCCACATGGCGCAAAGTCGAACTGCGTCGGTTTGTGGCTGATCGCATGCCGCGGCAGAGGAACCATCGCATCATTGGCAAACGATTCAATATAGCCACAAATAGGCTACCCATGGATTCAAAGGGTACTCGTGATTTACGCGGCTGGCCAATTTCGTTGCCAACCAAGGTGCCTACAGGCCATACCTCTCAACCTGTTATCCTGGCATTGTCCAGGTGTGTGGTGGGTCCTGGTGGTACCTTACCGGGACGTCTCTGTAGCTCTAAAAATTTGCCTCGTGAGCTCCGGATGTTGACATGTCCTGTAGAGCCCTAACTGCGGCCACCATCCGCATTCTTTATAGATTGTTGCGCTTGCATACGAGCGGACCACAACGTTGTCAACGTCCCTCTGTACCTTCTCCTCATCTCACACGATCAACATGGCCTCTAACTACACAGACTGGCAGGGCCCTCCCCCTCCTTATATCATCACGTTTGGTAGAGACTCTACCTGCACGCTGGACCTTTGTCCCCTTGAATGGAGCGTTTACCGTTACCGCCCTAACCTAGCCGCCAACGTCATCTTCGTGGTTGCATTCGCCATCATCGGCATTGTCCATTGCTTCTTGGGATTCCATTGGAAGAGCCCGGGCTTCATGACGGGGATGCTGCTCGGCTGCATCAGCTCCGTTATTGGCTATGTCGGGCGCATCGTCTTGCGGACCGACCCGTTCGCCTTCGAAGTTTTCATGATCCAGATCAGTGAGTGCGTCTGCGTTCGTCAAACGAGACCAGCAGCTAAATTGAGGATAGTTTGTCTGACTATAGCCCCCGTCTTTTTCACGGCCTCCATCTACGTGACCCTGTCCAAGACCATCGTCCTGCTCGCTCCGGAGCTATCCCGCTTCAGGCCCCAGCTGCTGTACTGGATCTTTATACCTGCCGATATCATGTGCCTCGCTCTGCAAGCTGCGGGTGGCGCCATGTCCGTCTTGGCGGACAACAGCCAGGCCGGCGTTGACATATCCCTGGCTGGGCTGATCCTTCAAGTCGTTGTCATCATCGCCTTTGTGGCGGCCTTCGCCGATTACATGCTCCGCTACTGGCGCTCCGGAAAGATGCGCACCTTCGGGTGGAGGCTAGGGGTATTCTTTATCGGACTCTCAGCTTCCAGCATCTTCATATTGACTCGCTGCATTTACCGCGTCTTTGAGCTGAAGGATGGCTACGACGGTGATCTCATCACCCACGAGATTCCTTTCATCGTTCTGGAAGGTATCATAATCGTACTAGCCTCAATCGCGCTTATGTGGGGACATCCTGGTTTGGCAAGCAAGGCCCTTCTTGGATGTTCTAAGTCGGAGGTTTCAGCCGCAGTAGGCAGCAACAGAGGTCGTAGGTGGAAGGATATGGTGCGTGGATGACGAGGGGCGGGGTTCTGCGCCAGTTGTGTGCCTACCGAACAAGAGTGAGCAGTGAGAAGAGTACAATACGTTGGAAAAGTGGACACAGTCATCTCTATACTTGATTCGGGCGGCAAAGGCAGTCGTCCGCCAACACTGAAAATGAATTACAGGCTGCCTGATTGTGGAGTGACCGTGTCTCGGCGTCCGGAGGAACATAGTAAATTATCTTAGGCGTACCGTATAAAGCACCTCCTCTCCATCAAAATTGTCGTTGGATACCGACTAGGAGAATGGCTTTCTATGGCTATTCATATGAAGCGATCCTCTGGGGATATCTAAGGGATGGCAGATTTTCCTCATGAATGGATATTTTACAAGATGGCTCCTAAGCATAGGGTAGTTAATTCTGCCTTTCTGGTGACTAGGTTGCGGGCACCCCTTTCTGCGCCTTACCTAGGGGCCAGGTGTCAGACGCATGTTGCATGCCAGGGTTGTTGCCTCAGCGTGGCTGGGGTCGCTAGCCCTGTGGCTAGGTGTGGCACAGGAAGCCCAGATTGGGTCACGTGCACAGCGGCGCATAGGGGGAAAAGCCTTTGCAGCCGTGGAATGCTTCTAGGAGAAAACACATCATCAACAGCGAGTACGAAATTTTTGAAACAACAGCATAAAACAGAACCGGGCACTCCCGCTTCTGATAGCAACGGCCTCCAAGAGCCATCATGCTTCCCCCAGCCTGATGCACCTCGTGGAGGCCCAGGTGCTGTCAGCAGGATGCAGGAAAAGAGCACCCAACATTGAGAGCACGCCACACACATGACAAACGCCAACGCGCGCAGCAATAACACCACAACATGCACCTCTATCTCGACTCCGTGTAGTGCAACGGTGAAGCCCAAATATGCGCCCCTCATACAACACAACAGCTACGGATGGGTCTCCTCGCCCATCATCACGACAAATGTCTGCAACACCCCACAACGACTAGTGGTCGAACAGAACGACCTCATCCCGAACATGCGCAGCGCCCCAGACGCACGCACCGCACGCTACGACCGGTGCACCAAATACTACAGACCACAGACAGACTCGCCCCCTGTCGCCCGCATCGTGAAGGAGGAGTGGTGACCCTCCAACACGCGACACTGTCTGCGAACGCGCTACGTTAGGGCTCTCAGGCCTAGTAATTCGAATACTTGAACCGAGCGGAGCATTGTACTTCACGGAGCAGAGGTTTAGACCATGATGAGGTTCATTTGCTGGTCAAACAAATGCAAACACACAGCCACATAGGAACCCAGCAGGAGGCAATAACATCATATCGATACCAAATTAAAAGAACATGTGCAAGTCCGGGGGATAGGATAAGCAATGGAACAGACGAAGCCGGTGGCTGGGGGGAGACTGTAGGTATATGGACACGACCCCATGGCGGGAAACCGCCAACAGAGCCTTACAAGCGGAACAAACATGGAATCTACGATCACATTACATTCGGAGGAAAGCAAAATTTGAAGACGAAGCGGATTCTCCAACCGCTGGGGTCCATCTAGAGAGTGCCAAATGCGTTCGATCGCCTTGCTGTGGGTATTGTATCTTCTTGATAGATCCCTGTGGAGCTCCCTAAGGTTTTCGGCGCTTGTAGACTCCATAATCACGGTTTTGCTGGCAGTGGGTGGCCGGGGATGTAGTTGGGAGGGGTTACGATGCTCGACGGACTGAACTTGATGCCTGCTCGGGTTTAACCGCGATTGTGCCGCAGCCAATCTCGAAGATGAACCGCAATACCCCACCTCATGTGCCGTTTCATGATAGCCCGCTTCTCGAATCGCCACAAGCCGGACGCTGTGCCCCGGCAAAACACGTCACCCTTTCGCATACTTAGCCTTGGTCGCCATCCTCCTCCAGTCGACGTCCGCTTGGAATAGTGACCGATGGGAAATCGCCATGCGGATTTGTACTTTCATGTTGACCGACGAACGAATATGGCTAGCGTGAGCCACGATGACTAAGTTCTCGTAGGGTAGAAATCAGATGGGCGCACTGTGCTCACTGGTTGTCCGATGTACCTTGGCGGATGGACCACGATTGGGCGACAAAGGGGAAACAGCGCGCGTTTCCAGATCTATTATGGAGCGTCTTGTACCGTTACTCGCGTTTATCAAACAAGAAGAGCCTTTTCCTATTCACGACTTCCTTTCGGATCTGCGGTCTTAATTTATCGATGCAGTGCGCGTGGAGATAGACTTCGGATCGTTCACTTTAAGCTTCGAGAGTGTTTTGCTTCAAGGCCACGGGGCCAAGGTACCGGTACCCGCAAAAAGTGATTTCCAGTCGGAAAACCCAATCGAGGTGCTTTCTTGCAATGAATCAACCATAATACTCGGGATCACTGGCTTGGATGAGAAAGTAACTTTGCGACTAGGGTGCGTATGTTGGGGTGCTTGTCAGGCGTAGGCGCCGGATGCAGCCAGACTATGAGCTTAGATGCCAAATCATGGATGGAGTTCCATTCCCGCGAAACGAAAACAGCTTTGAACTGCATGTAGTAAGTGCACAAACGTCAAGGGCCCGTCGGCTTGTTTCGGCTATATATTATGATTCATTGACGCTATCGCAATGTAGACTCTGATTCTTTGCAGTTTCGCCTCTGCCTTCATAATGTCTGGCCTTGATAAGAACGGTTTTGAACGCGCACTCAAGGACATCTTTCAGGGAGAAAGTGCCAAGGACAAAAGCCTGTCACAGGTTCGAAAATGCATCAAGCGCCACGCTCAAAACCCCGCGATATCGGCCTTGGTTCAGTCCAGCAGCATGGAGGCTGTCAGCAAACTAGCACATGGACTGTTATCTTCTGGAGCTTTCGAGACAACTCCCTTGCCCGAAATACAGTCCGTCAAACTGTCGGGCTCCAAGCCGCCTGCCGTCAATGGATGCAATGGGATAGAGACTTTACTTAGGCCTCAAACCATGGTCTCCCCTGTTCCCTCTTCGCCCCCCATCGTTCAGACCTCGTCTAGCATCAGCTCAACGCAAGGTAATTCTATCATTTTCGCAAATCAGGTTTGAAATCATAGCTGACAGGCTGAGTAGGGTCAGGGTCCAAGTTATCTGCAGAAGGCAAAGAAAGGGAGCCGCTGAAAGCTGCACAACTAGCGCCGCCTTCAGATCAAGATCTGGATCTTTCTACAGCCTTGCTGGAGGTGGACTACTCAACACAGCATCGTGTTCTCACATGCACACAATTCCTCTTGGAGCAGGCTTGTTTCGATTTTGCCAAGCGTACATTTCCCTCCATATTAGAGGAAAATGGGTGGGACTGTGCCGAGGCCCTCGAGCTGAACCTGATGGCGAAAGCTCTAAGCGCACGTCCGCGGGGGCCAAGCTCGAGCCTGAAACTCAAATCAAAACCAATCCAAGGCTGTATAGATATTATATCGGAAATTCGACATGCGGCGGTTCACCGTCATAGACTCAGCGCCAAGACACTTGATCAGCACTTGCATACCGCAGTGGATCTCCTTGAGGCGTTCGATGATCGTGGGCGCCTTGAGCAGATAAAAAAGCTATCTGACAAGATCCGTTTTTTGCTGTTGCAGCTTGATCTTGATTCGAACACGATCCGATCAGCGCTCAGCAAACAGGAAGTACAGATCGAGAATCAGATCCGCTTACTAGACCAAAAAAAAGAGGCTCTGCGTTTCAGAGCCAAGACGTCTCTACAGCGAACTCAGACCGCCGCTAGCTTGGATCTTGAAGAAGCTCTTTATTCTGCTATTCCGCGGACTACCGCAGGTGCAACTCTGAAGGAAGGGCGATGTTTGCTGGGAGCAATGATTACAGTTATTGTCTTCACAGCATTCTTGCTCTGGCGCATGCGGGACTGCTAAATGCTTCAGAGTCTCGATGGCGCCTCGTCGCGAGTCTAGCTTTCTCCCTGACCTTGGATGGCAGATTTCAAGAGCCGAATTGCCAAGAATCTGCCCAGGAAGCTAGCATAGGCAGCTGTAGACGTCTGGGAGCTTGAACAGACCTCGATCAGGGATCCCTGAGTCCGGTTGTTGCGGTATGCAATACTGTGACGGGGACAAGGACGGCACGGAACAAATTACAAGGCGACTCAATGGTGGTTGCTGGAAGGTTGTGTGTGGCAGAAGCAATGTCGCGTACATAATTGTCAGTAGTAGACAGGTAATCTCATTTGGGACTCTTCTGATGAGGATCGGCATTTAAGAAAACAAACTCATCGCTCATGTCTCATAAAACAATGAATAGGGCAAGAGATATCATTTCATAAGGCCGGCTAGCTATTGCATTGGTCAAACTGGGGGCAACATGGAACGCTCGAGATCGAGAGCATCATGACCGTCAAAACAATATACCCCCTACTTGAGATGTCAACAAATCAATTGTCATCTAGAAATGCATTGACGCAAAGCTCGTGGTCGAAGACGACTTCTTTTTGCACGATGCAATAAACAAGCTCATCCTCCGTTCTCCACCCACCAACCATGAGGACTCCTTGCTCCCTTGCTCGACCCATACAGCCCCTGCAGTATTCTTCGTTACTTTTGCCATGTTTTGCGTCCGGACAATAGAATTTGTTGCGCTGTTTCGTCATAGGAAAGAATGTGGTCTCCGTACTGCTGCTTGTTGTGATCTCAATGAAGCGACCCTCCAACATAGATGTGTGACCATTGGGCCAGCTTGTTGTGTGCTTGGTGCAGGCATCTCGATCCTGAGTCTCCTTGACCATATATTCTATCTTGACAGCCTCCAGGTATTTCCGCTCGCATAACCACTTTTCTAGCCTGTCAATGGCGAAATATTTTGATTCTTCGAGCAGCGCCTGGTAAAGAGGGAAGTTGTGACCTGCTGTGCTGTCGTAAAAAACCGGCAAAACACCAGTACGGAGATATCTTAGAACGTGTTCGAAGATGTTGGCATCAGTCTCAATGAAGTAAGACCCATCTTCTTTTTTGTCGTCCCATTTCCCAGAGAAGAGCCTGTCAAAGTATAAGCTCCGACCCTGCCATCCCTCAAAGTCGGTAACGAAGGTACGTTGCGATGTGTTGATCGTGACATGCATAGCCTATACCTGTAGTTGAAAATAGAATGACTGACAGGCGTGTTGCGGTCTTTGTTGAAACGTACAGGAATGGGTGACCCGAACTTTAGACAAGAAACGTGAGC